GCAGTAAATGAAGAGGTGCTACCTCATGTACAAATGTGGAAAAAAGAAAAAAGCCTAGAGGCATCTAAATGTGGGAAGTCCATGTCTGCCAATCTGTACTAGGGAGTCATCGGGGCAAGTCAAGAGATTTCCCTCACGATAAATATGAGAAATAATATCATGACCGCAGGAGATTAGGTATCTTAAGCATTGATGGACCACGGGCCTTCTCCACGCGTGATGCAATGAATTGAAGCAAAAGAATCTGCCTCTATTCAAAAACCCAAAAGATAGGAGTGATAATCAGGTCGAGCCATTGGTTGGCTTACGGGCTTGTCTCATCTCGAGCTCAGCCTATAGGCCACTCGAGGTTCTATTGAGATGAGCCATGGACCGAGTCGAACTTGTTTTGAGCAAGTGAGTCAACTGTTTTCTTTAACTCACTTATGACTTATTTTAGTAGTCTATAAAAAAACACAAGCCGTTTCAAGATCAACTCGTGTCCACAAAGCCCGAGCCGAGCCTTAGCTAGTCCTTAGGGTCGAGCCTCAGTTTGACCCATTGCCATTCCCCTGAGAGATGAAGTTAGTGTGCAAGAAGGATCCCCTCAAGAATGAACCACAACTCAGCAGTATCCTATCAAAGATGGCCTACAACTAAGCATTAAGCATAGGACAAAACCATGGGATGAAAACAATGATAAATTTGTCTAGAATGATCCAGTTGATACCACACGTTCTCCATCAATCTACTATTTCATAAAACATTTTTTAAAATAACGAGGTTCAAATACACACTGTAATATTTTATTTTATGGTGGGCTTTNAGCTAATATACGCTCCTTTTTAGCCCCCATTTTCTAAAATTTATTTTTCCTCAAATTCATTATTAATCTCATATTTTATGGGACCCACAACTTTCATAAATTTTTCAACCACACATTTTTTCAACTTTGATCAAAACTAAAAATCCGACTTTTATCTAAATCAAATAAGGGCTTCATTTTTGTTAATCTTAATTTGATCTACATCCATGCACTCACTCACTCAGGCATGCACGCACATCCGTTTATTGAAAACACAGTATCCAAAAGGAAATCATTGACCGAAAATGATTAGGGTCCGTTTGATTGCGAAGGTGGAAAATGGGTGGAAAGAAAATGAATTCCAGGGAATTGAATTGTTTAGAAATTGTTTTACTGAGAATTATAATTAATTGTTTGACTTGGTAGGAACGGTAGGTTTTGGAAAATCGATACCGTTTCTCACACAGTGTGAGATAGGACAATATTTCGTATCAACCAACATTATTCATATTTAACCTGTTGTCGAATGTTGCAAATTAGTAACATCAATCATTATGGCAAGCAGGAGTTCAATTTGAAAGCACTTGTACAGGACAGAAGTACTAGAGCATCTATCTTGATACTAAGCTGGCTCCAAGATTTACAGTGTCCTTATGTATAAATTATGTCTAAAATTCATTGTTAGAGTGATATAATAATATAAGGAGAAAAGTTGGGAGAAGTTGCCAGCTAGGTGAAGTGTAGAGGGTGGAGGACATAGATGATTGTTTTCTCTGTATTACTCCAATAAATACGGGGAGAAAATACTCTTCTGATCGCGGATGAATGGATGATGAAAATGTAAATAAATCAACAAAAGCTAACAAGTGAAAATATCATCCATTTTCAATAATTCCAAATTATGCTGACATAAAACAGTAAGCAAAGGCACATCACACACAAACTATAAGGAACTCAATTGCGTAAGTTACAGGTTTTAGTTGCAAGCTCACCAAAAGCATCAATATGCTTTCCTTCAGTGTGTAACTGCATTTTGATAAGAGTGCCTGCACAGTGGCCAGAATTCCCTGTCTCACTCTTTTGGTTGGATGAACTCAAAGGCCAAAGCTGATACCTGTGGAATATGGAGTATCACAACTGTGATAAGCTACATGGGGGAAAGTTGCTAACAAAACGTGAGTAGAAGTGTTTACAATCCACTTTGTTGTACGCTTAACACACAGTAATCCAACCTTTCTATCAAAATCACCTTAGATTTTTAACAATTAAAGTTCAGCCATAAGCAGAAACCTGTGGAATATGGAGTATCACAACTGAGATAACCTACATGGGGGAAAGTTGCTAATAAAACGTGAGTAGAAGTGTTTACAATCCACTCTGTCGTACGCTTAACACGCAGTGATCCAACCTTTCTGTCAAAATCACCTCGAGCCTTCTCTCTGAAGCCAGACATTGTAACACCCCTGTCTACAGATTTCGTCAAATCTTGAGCAGTAATTTCATCCTTGCCTTGATCTTTAACAGGCAGGTGATGGAGTTCCTCCAGCAATGATGCAAGAGGTTGCTCTTCACTTGAAGAAAGGCCAAAGTTGTCATTCACAATGATACCGAGACTAGATATATTCACATCATCCTCGAGAACTATGACAAGATATTCTGCAAAACCTCTAATTGCATGATCCAAGGCTTCCGTCCTTCCAGACACCCCACTAATCATAGTTTGTGATACATTCAATACTTTCCTAATCTGACTGACAACACCTAGTAAATAGAAAGCCAATGCGTCTGCAGAACCAACCTGCAGATCCCCGTAAAGTTACGAATCAAATTCCACTTTCCATATCCTGTGATGAGTAAATATCTTAAACGAACTATACTACTTGTACAATGAATTTGACAATAAGTTTGACAATGTGAGTTGGCAGACATTATGTCCACTGATTTGAAAGATTATTTTTTAATTCAATGGCAATGATCTATACACGTCACACATTGTCAAAATCATTGTGCAAATTCATTATATAAATAGTTTAATTCGATCAACATGTACAAAAAATAATATACAAGTAGACAGATATAGAGATGCAAGATTGTTCAAGTCCAGAAGGATATGTCCAATCATAAAATGAGCTTTTCTTTATTTTTTGCATGTGCTTTGAGTTTTACAAGCCAATAATTTATCCAATCGGCTATTAATTTGAGCAAGATGCGAGGATCCACATGATGTGTGCTCATATTAAATTTATGATGTACAACAAGAACTATAATTACGCATCATAGTTAAGATGCTGTGTGAAAGAAAGACATTAAGGAAAATCACCATTAAGTATTTTCCTTGATGCTACCTAAGTTTTCATATGACAGAACTGAGGTTTGCACAAGAAGATGAAAAATAATGACACCACCTTTGCAACTAGTACTCGTAGTGCAATGAAGGCTTCTATACAAAGCCTTGAACTGCCACTATGTCCTCGTGTAGCCTCAACATCTGCAGACTTCACACGAATATTCAAAGTCAATTTTTTGGAGTAAGTTGCCACGGATAGGATGGGAAAATGAGCTAACATACTGTGATACAAACACCTCAGGAAAGAATATGTTTCTATGGAAGGACAGAGTTACATGCCTTGAGCAAAAGTGAAAGCCAGTGTCCAATGATGGTTGAAGCATGTTCAGATTAAAGAAATGCTAATAAACATTGTTCTGGAGCTAAATCATATTTCGAGACCCGAGCACACGAAAACTGAACATCGTCTCTACCTAAAAGAGTGGGGCAACCACCAATTTGTTTGCACGGACAGGACTTATCCAAACAAGAATGTAAATTAAGCAACAGAGCCTTGAAACACCTTAGTATTCCTTCACAAAACTCTTCAGAAGCCTCGGATGGAGAAAGCAATGCTCCATGAGTCAATTATTTCAGTATTACAACCATCTGCACACAAGAACATTTAGGGGCCTAAGTCAAAAAAGCACCTTAACAAATTCTGATGCATAAACAATATGGGTTCCTCAAAGGAATTACTTTGGTTTTATTACTAAAGCAAATGCTCCTAATTTCCTCATTTTGTCATCCACCATGAATCAAATGAGAGGAAATCTCTGTCACTAGTTAGACGCACCCAAGAGGATGTTTAACGGAACTATGAGAAAGCTGAAAAGATTACTTACAATTGCAACTTCAGTAAGTTAACATAATCCGGAACAAGTGAAATATTGAAATTAAACCAAGTACAAAAAATCCAACTGTGTAAAACAAAATATATAACTACGAGGTAAAAGAGTTTCGAAATCAAAGAAAAAATATGGAACCGAGAGCAAATAGCATGAAAATGTTTTTGTAAACAAGCATCAACCACTACAAAAAAAATTCACCGCATAGATGAACGCAAATGGAGAAACAACAATTGGACATTCAAGACAAATGATTCGCTAATAAACTGTCCAATTGAATTCTGAAAAGGGTAAAACCCCATAAATCAATTGACCACTCCTTTAAGTTATTAGTACCTGATCAACAGATCCTGAATGGCATTTCTTCAAGAGTTCCTCCAGACAAAGAAGTGTGGCTTCTGCCACAGCATCACTCACATTGTGTGATGTCTCCAAGTCATGAAACAACAGCGATCTATCCTCAGAGTTGGCCTTCTGTGATGCAATTCACTGCTGCATCGAGCAAAAACAGCAATGGGGAAACAAAGTATAGCTGACAACATCAATAAGAAATCTATGCATACTAAGTTGAATACAAAATATAACAAAAATGTGTTGAATTCAGAATTGTGTTGAGTACATTAAAATGTGAATAAGTTGACAGTTCCTTGCAAAATATATCTTCAAAGACCCATAGAACAGCGAGTTAAATTTAAAAAACTAGCTTTCAGTTCCCCAAACAGAATTTCTTTTTTAATTTATTTCACATCCAAAATGAGAAAAGTACAAACTAAAACTACGTGTATCCCCTAATCAAGATCGTGTAACACAACATTTAGTAATCATTATCTCATGGGATATCAAAAGTTAAACTCTAGCAATTCTCATTCTATTTCTTTTCTGTAGATTCAACTTCGCATTCTAATCTATAATATATTAAATATGGCGAAACATTTTCTGGATGATTTTAGTCATACTACAATTTATTATTGCAATAGTACCTTACTTTTTGTTTTTCAATATACATTTAATTGAANGTAGAGGTGGTGCATTTGGGGTGGATTTATTATATTATATTATATTAGAAAAAAAACCTGATTTTTGAATTTTCAATTTATAAACATGATTTTTGAATTGGGGTAAACTAAACACCTCATTTATGAATTTTTCCCACTAATTTAATACAATTAAAAGTCCATCTTGAGGCCCAATTAATTCCAATGTCCAATTAAATTAATATTGGCTTCCAAGTCCTCAATTCTTCCATATAATGCAAGTTGATCCTTGTACATTGGATTTTGCCAATTTTCGCCACATTTTGCTTCCTTTCTTCAATTCTTTTTTTATCCATAGAGTTTCACATATTAAACATAAAATACAACAATTTAGAATATATTTTATCAAAAGAACTATCAAATGTCGTTATTTTAGGTCCCGAATAAGTGTAAAAATTACACTTATCATGAAATATTGAAATAAAATCGGAATAAGTGAAATATTGAAATTAAACTAAGTACAAAAAATCCAACTATGTAAAACAAAAGATATAACTACGAGGTAAAAGAGTTTCGAAATCAGAGAAAAAAAATATGGAACCGAGAGCAAATAGCATGAAAATGTTTTTGTAAACAAGCATCAACCACTACAAAAAATTCACCGCATAGATGAACGCAAATGGAGAAACAACAATTGAACATCCAAGACAAATGATTGGGTAATAAACTGTCCAATTGAATTCTGAAAAGGGTAAAACCACATAAATCAATTGACCACTCCTTTAAGTTATTAGTACCTGATCAACAGCTCCTAAATGGCATTTCTTCAGGAGTTCCTCCAGACAAAGAAGTGTGGCTTCTGCCACAGCATCACTCACATTGTGTGATGTCTCCAAGGCATGAAACAACAGCGATCTATCCTCAGAGTTGGCCTTCTGTGAAGATCTGCAATGCACTGCTGCATCGAGCAAAGTATAGCTGACAACATCACTAAGAAATCTGTGCATACTAAGCAAAGTTGAATACAAAATATAACAAAAATGTGTTGAATTCAGAATTGTGTTCAGTACATTAAAATGTGAATACGTTGACAGTTCCTTGCAAAATGTGTCTTCAAAGACCCATAGAACAGCGAGTTAAATTTAGAAAACTAGCCATCAGTTCCCCAAACAGAATTTCTTTTTTCATTTATTTCACATCCAAAATGAGAAAAGTACAAACTAAAACTACGTATATCCCCTAATCAAGATCATGTAACACGCCATTTAGTAATCATTATCTCATGGGATATCAAAAGTTAAAATCTAGCAATTCTCATTCTATTTCTTTTCTGTAGATTCAACTTCACATTCTAATTACAAGAAATATCTCTTTAAAAACGGCAGTCCTACAACCCAGCCATGCCCCCATGGTCTATCATTCTATCAAACATTTTTACTCATCAAAAAATGATTACAAAGGCCTTCTTTTGATGTGTTTGCACACAACTCCAGTTTAAAGACAAATCAAAATATCGCGATTGAAAGATTAAGTCCAAAGAAAGCAACCGGAACGAAATGCCATATTAAGGACCAGTTCAGCACTTGACATGTTTGGAGATAGATTGCATGTATTACAAACCTCCTAAGGTAGACAGAGCATAACTTGTAGGCTTCCTGTGAACAAACGCTCAGTTGCCATACAACTAGCTTATGAAAACTTCACAAAAGCAAAGATAACACAAGTGCAAAAATAATATTGTAATCTCACTTAAAATTCTTGTGAGCAGCAGCATTGCCATCACCATCCAATTTCCACTTATTCAATGTTCAGACATCCAGCTTTAGCTTCGTAAGGCATCATATGGTTTCTCCAGCCCTTCGCTCTCTCCTCACATTGAATGTGATCACATGCTCTACCACCCCATCCATTACAATAGCAACAACCCTTGCCAACAATCAACTCTATCCCCAACTCCAAAACTCACAGCATCCCCACAGAGTGAAAAGAGATAAAAACTCCAATATTAGAATCATAAAAGATCACCCTCAAGTTTGAATTTTTTTTCTCCTAAACTTGAATACCAAGCTGCAGTATGCCACCACAATAACTGTCATGACTAAAACATATTTATCGTATTCATCATTGTAAAATATTTCAATGTCTCGTTACTCATGGTTCCTTTATCTTTACCCAATTAGATCATAAGCAACAACAAATAACCACAGTCCCTCCAGTTATAAACAAACCCAAAATAAAAAATCAATCTTTCTATTACAATCTTCATTAACTAGAAATCTTACGGTCAAATTAACTCTCAAGAAACAAACACATGAATGATTCAGTCAAATGTGAATAAACAATTCTTCTTATGACAGAGGGAGGGAAAAGTCGCGAGGAAAATTGCACAAGTG